AGATTCTCTCTCTCTCTCTCTCTCTCTCTCTCTCTCTCTCTCTCTCTCTCTCTCTCTCTCTCTCTCTCTCTCTCTCTCTCTCTCTCTCTCTCTCTCTCTCTCTCTCTCTCCCCCAACATATTGCAGGCTTTGCAGAATTATTAATCGTAATTTGACCCTTTGCGAAACACAGTTCGGCCAAAATTCTGATACACAGTACTTCCCCCTAGAAAAAGAGAAAGAATCGAGTCTTTGTTTCCAGCAGCGAAAAATACTAACAAATCTCGACCGGATGTGAGCCAGGTCAGCGCGACCACAGCTCGAGTGCGGCCACATGGGTGGAAATCCTCCGCCACATACTAGCCCAGTCGACCATCTGACGTGCCGCCTGGATTCCGTAATTTGTCTTGACCGAGCTGGTTAGTAAAGCACTTTAATCCTGCAGCAGTGATATTAATCCGGCGTGAAGTACTACGAGACCCACGTTACTTGTGTACACTGAGGAAGGCTTGGTGATCTTACGGTGCTGTGCTACGTTTTTGAGATCGGAGATTAAGGTTCTTTATATCAGGAGCGTTTCGTGAACTGAAAGCTCTGTTTTTAAGAGTTGTTTGAACCGTATATATTCACGCAAGTATATTACAAACAAGGATTTTTTTGTGATTATATATATATGAGATTGCCAAAAAAAAAAAATCTGTTTTTAATGTTGTGTGATTAAATATATGGGACATTTTTTAAAAATCTTCCTTTCTCTGTTTTTATCACTTTTTGCATCACGTCTCGCGAAGCCCAAGTCTCCGCTTTCTTCACGCACACACCTTTTTTTTCCTATTAGTTCACCGAGTGTCAGATTATTCACGGACTTGTTGAGTCATTTTTTTACTATTTCACAAGAATTCCATGCATGAATGATTACGGATTTTCTAAAGCACGTATATCGAAGTGACGTCATTCCGTGTCAATCGTTGTCGGCGGCAAAGACGTGAGGCTGCAACACCCGTGTGCAACACCTGCTCTCGCGATTGCAACACAGTCATATGTCACGCAGAAACACTTTCAGCTTCACCCTAAAGTATATCCTAATATATATATATATATATATATATATATATATATATATATATATATATATATATGTATGTATGTATGTATGTAAGTATATGTATATATGTATTTATATGTATGTGTTATATATATATATATATATATATATATATATATATATATATATATATATATATATATATGTATATATATATTTATTTATTTATAAATGTACATGCACATATATCCATTCTCCTCTCTCTCTCTCTCTCTCTCTCTCTCTCTCTCTCTCTCTCTCTCTCTCTCTCTCTCTCTCTCTCTCTCTCTCTCTCTCTCTCTCTCTCTCTCTCTCCTTCTCCTTCTCCTTCTCCTTCTCCTCCTTCTTCTTCCCACTCTCTCTCTTTCCCTTCCTCCCTCCATCACTACTTCCTAGGCCTGTATCAATTACTAATGAAAGGGCAGGTTCTTTCATGTGACAATTTTTGCGATTAAGCTCCGGAATTCGCGAAAAGTCAACGAATAGCGGGCCAGGAATGGCATTGCACTTGGTATGAATGCTATGGCTATTTTTAATCTCCACTGCCACCATCGTCTGAATTATCTCAGTACCTGTCACTGTCCTGTACGTAATCTGTGCCGCCTTCCTCTTCGCCAACGGACCTTCATTATCTAATATCCGAATTCCATTAAGAACTAAATCTAGGCTGCATTTAAGAGCCACGCGTGCAGCAGTATAATCACATTTGCTTCACTAGTAAGAAGCGTATCTGCTTCACTAGTAAGAGCCAAGTTGGTATATTGACATTAAAAGCTATATCTCTATCACAAATCTGAATCACTATTAACAGCTACACCAGCGGTACCAGCCACATTTTCAGCGATATGAACAGTTATATGTATCAATAACTTCCTTAAATTATCATCCTCATATTCACGTTGTGCTTGTGGTTCGAACGACCTTCCCATAGATAATGGAATCGGTTTGTCATAGTTGGTGTTTCACGTGGATATTATACTGTGAAATACGTGATTAAGTATGGGATTTCTTTAGACTCTTGATGCTCTTTTAATTACTCCATAACTTGTAAAGTTTCTTTTTTCTTCTGGGTGTTAGGTTAATCCCCGGCTCTTCCTCTCCTCGTAAGACTGAATCCACTCACCTATCTTTATTCCCTCCTTTCTCTCCAAACTTTACCTTTATCTGTGGGATTTATTCTAAGGCGACCATATTCCGAGCATCGTATTTTTTTTCTTCTGTAGCATCAGTCCCTTTTTTCCAGCAGCTTCAGTCCCCGTGGCAGTTGTGACACGCGAAACAGCCGTCTGGTGATCCGTGAACAGGAGGCTGACGACCAGCACGGAGAAAGTGATCTGAACCCTTTGTTCCCCGTGAGCGTGAGCGCGAAACAGTTCACGTACATGTGTGAAACGGTTTCTGATCAAATTGTTACTTGGAGCATTTCCTAATTCTTGCAGTTCGCCTCCGCTCGCCAATATAGAGCTTCCACAGTTTCGCCGTAAGGGTTGGATTTCTTTGCCTTACACGGCTGGCTATGTCGTCGCAGTTAATATCCATGGTATTCTGTAAACCATTTAGCGACTCACATTAGGTTATGGAGCCGATTATTTCCTAACAAAGTGCAAATTGGGGTTTACAATGGTGACTTGCCAGTTTTTAGAATAGCAGTGTCTGAGTAAACACGAGATTAGTGAAGTTTATTCTGTAAAGGTAATTTTGTTCTTGACAGCCTCTGGAAACCGACATAATTACGTGAATTACAGGAAATGCCCAACATAGGTTCATGACAGACGTCATAGTCATAGCTGTATCGGCCGTGCGACCTTCATTAACACTAACCTTAACGCTTTGCTCCCAAGATTCAAAACCCTTATGAAAGTATTATGATCGACGACTTTAATGCTTAAATTCTTATAATTAAATGACCCTTAGGTTTATCAAGATAAGCTATCAGCCCCGCTTAGATATTCACGGATAACGGGAGACCGAGAATCGAAGGGTATTAGTCCTTCCCTTTTATTATTAACGTCGAATTATGTAGAAAACTTCAAATGACTTTTACTAATGGAAAAAAAGAAGAAAAAAAAATATGTATAAAGCAGTTCAGATAAAAGTTCTTCATAAGGAATACATTACGATGGCTGTATTATCCTGCCTCCTCCTGCATTATCGTTCTAGTATAAGAGTCCTTTGTGTGGACTGTGCCATCGCGTACCCTCGCCATCTCCGGTACTCTCGGGTCGCGGTGAACACAGTAAATAAACAGAGAGAGAGAGGGAGAGACAGAGACAGAGACAGAGAGAGCAAATTTGACTTTCATTTTGTACAGAATAATCGAACAGAAAGTATAAACTTACGATTAAGTCACGTAGCTCATATGGTTATTTAGTTGGAATATGTTTTGCTAAACGGTTAGCAAATGAGTCTATTTTGATTAAATATTCTAAAATGCACATTTCCAATTCGCATATCAATCCTAAAAAAATATTCTACAAAGTTTTCACAATTCACTAGACCTCAATTAAATTAAATGGCGACCTTTTTCTCAGTAATAACAATACAAAGAAGAACGAGAAAGTGAGAGGGAGAGGGAGAGAGAGGGAGGGGGAGGGAGGGAGAGAGAGAGAGAGAGAGAGAGAGAGAGAGAGAGAGAGAGAGAGAGAGAGAGAGAGAGAGAGAGAGAGAGAGAGAGAGAGAGAGAGAGAGAGAGAGACAGACAGAGACAGAGACAGAGAGATACAGAGAAAGAGTGAGAGTGAAAGAGAGAGAGAGAGACAGACAGACAGACAGACAGACAGACATATCAGCGCTTTCCCACATCTGCGTCAGCCTCACATCCCCCGCGGTCACGCCGACCTTCCTCTCACTTTCGCCCTCATCTTGCACGCCTCCGAGAAAAGCCCCGTCACTCTCTCACTCTCGCCGCCTCTCGTGCATCGTCACTTCCATCTCCGCCGGGATTTGGCAGCGATGGTA